TTCATCACTCTTCACTCACACCTACCATCTCATTCTCACCACCCACCCCACATTCACCAACCATTCTACTCACACCACCCACCTCACTCACACCTACCATCTCATTCTCACCACCCATTTGACTTCACCAACCATTCCACTCACACCACCCACCTCACTCACACCAACCATTCCACTGTCATCAGCCACTTTAGTACATGTAGCAGTCACCTGCCCTTTAGCCCTTTTTGTTACAATGTCAGTCATCTTTTGTTGCTTTGTAACAGGATGTGGGGCTGATGCACACTTTCTCTTCCTTTCTTTTTTTTTGTTTTCGGTCTGCCGACGAACCTTTTTAGCCCCCGTTCCGTCCGTCCTTGTGTCCATCTGGAGCCATTTCTCAGACACCCTTTGATCAATCTCGTTCAAACTTGGTATACAGACAATGTATGATGACCTACATAGGCACCCCAATTTTCGTTATGATTCGATTAAATATGACTGACTGGCAGCCATTTTGTCCCTCAAATTTGCTAAACTCTGATATTTAAACATGTCCAGAACTGTGTTTTTTTCTTCTCTCTTTTGAACTGTTCAGTTCAAAGTTTCCATTTAGGTACTTTACTGACAGTAACACAATCTATATTCTGTGTTATTGTTAAAAAACATTGATCTTTCATTTCTACATGTCTTTGTACTGAACATTTAAATCGACTACAGCTAATACTTAACGGGGACTATGCATTATCAATGCTTGTTCAAAATGGGTCATTACATTTCAGCATTCAGATATGGAAGGAGTGGATGGATGTTTTATGATGGTCTTATCAGAGTACCAATTCATACCACCTGGCAGTAAAATATCAAGTCTTTGCTGCCTCCGTTGAAGATGATGAAAAACAAATGTTGGATATGGTAGACTACTACAAAACAAAATTGCAAGCAAACCTACTGATAAAAAAAATTTCCAAACACATAAAAAAATAAATAAAAAAAATGTGTCTTTCACTGAGCTGACCTCCCCCCCCCCTCAAAAATCAAATGGTCCAACCCTTACTCGATCGTAACGAGTCGCATTTGACGCAATGTAAGCCATGCATGCATGTTGTTTCGACTTAATACTGATACAGTCATCATGATGTAACTATTGCATTAT